CAACCAAGACTTCTTCTTTCTCTGACCCTTCTCCCTTCTCTGACCTTTCTCCCTCTTGCCCTGCCTTCCTTCCAGACAATTACTGAAGACTGACAAATGCTATCTCTGATTTAATTGGGACCTCACATCTCTGCCACTTTATTTCCTTTACCTTCTAATTGGTTTCCTATTTCCAATCACTGCCAGCCAAGGTCACCTGCACACTACTAACATAATTATCTAATTGCATATCTCTTGTCATTCTGTTTCTCTGACTTAAAAACCTTGACCGGCTCCCCATTTCTTCTAGCCTACTTTGCGGGGTTCATAAAACAGAACTCCAATTTCTGTCAGTCTGTTTCATCTCCTACTACACTACCAGGCAGTTCTGGTATTATGAGTGTGCATTTGCCTAATATAGATGTCACCTTCACTTGAATTACAAAGAGAAGTGGTCTGGCCTGGCCTGCTCCCTTTAGTCACCATTTTATTCCCTGGGATTATTGGATAGAAGCAGAATTTAAGCTTCTTTAAAGCGGCAGTCTTTATGACAGGTACATGCTATTTATTGAATGGGGTGAGTGATAAATGAAGTTTTGAATTAGCTAGAGTTGGAATATGTGGCTGAACTATAATATGTACTTGCCCTTTTGGTTGACCGTGCAGCCACTATAGTATCAACTAGTATATGGCTGTGGTCTTGTGCCTTGCAAGGTAGGGATAGGCCCTTGACAATTCCTAGTTTTCCAGTCTAATTACAGTGCATAACTAGATTGATCTTGTTTCATATCAGGAGGCTGGATCACTTTTCCACATCTATAATTCTCCTGTGAAAAAAACTACTTAGTCATAACTCTTAATTATACTAATCATTCCCTTTCCTTGGTTATTGAGAATTATAGCTAAATCACAGGGAGAATTGAATTTAAGGAAAATTGAATGTGTGGTTAACAAAAAACCCTTTAGCTGTTTTCTTTTTTGGGCACATAGCAACACCTAGTGGCTTTATGTATTATTTCAGAGACTGTTTCTAGAAACGATATCTTTTGGAGTTTTTCTCCCTTTTTTTAACCACTGCTTATTTAGTACCTTTTCATTAATAAATATCTTTAACTCTATTCTATTTAGGAAATAAGCTGGCTCTAGCATAGAAATGCACACACCTTTACCGTATGCCTTATTTATCAAGCTCTCAAGAATGATTTCTACATATGTATTTATAAGTTTGCTGTGTCATTTGAACCATTTTGAAAGTTTGAATTTTTTATTTTTTATTGTAGTGGGGATGCAGTTTGAAATTTTAGATAGAAATGTTTAACATTGTATCACACTCCTTTCTTAATAAAAATATATTTTATATCATCCTTGACAATTTAGAGTCATTATAAATAAAAATTACTGCATTAAATGTGTGCTTTCAAGAGAAATTTTGAAGCTATTTACCCTACTTTTAATTTGTTTTAGATAACTACTTTACGAAATTTTTTACCTGTTCTTTGTAGCGTTTGTTTCTTTTCCCTGTCTCATCCTGCTTCTGGAATTGTTTCTTCCTTTTGCAACTCTCTCCATTTCTCTTGGCCCTACTCTTGGTTTCTAACTTGCTGCTTCTATTCTGCTGCGGACTAGAGTCAGGTAACCAAGTCAAGTAACCGCATAGCTTAGTAGTATCCCAGTCCTCCTGGCTCCAAATTTTGCACTGCTTCTATTTCACTATACTAGAGATAAATGCAAAATCCACAGTGCAATAAAGTAAAAGTAGCTAGATTTTGAAAGACGACATGGTCTGCTAGAGTAAAATGCTTAGCCTTAATGATGCTATTCTTATTCTTTTTTTAAGCCATTGGATAGCCTGTGTTGGACTCTTTAGCCAGGTTACTGTGTGTCTGTATATACACACACACACACACAGAAAGAATCAAGTCTGTCAACAGATACTCATTGTGCATCTATTGTTAGATGTTTGGTAAGCATAAACACACATGTATAGACTTCTTTTCTTGTGTAGGATCACAGATACTAATAATTACATACATCTGAATCTTCCATTCAAATAGTTTTATTTAACACCATCCATCTTAAAGATTTCCAAACAATATTATTTAATTTTCAAGCTTTATGACTTGATATGTTATTGTGGCCAAGTAATCTATAACTGAAACTTATAAGAAAAAATGGTTGAATTTTCTTATTATTAATATGAGCTCTAGGCCACAGGCAGCTTACCTCCACATAAATGGTAACTATTTCTCATACTTCATGGAATGTTAAAGTAAGAATATAGTGATATAGCCAGGCACCAGTGGTTCATGCTGTTTAAGAAGGCTGAGATTGGGAGAATCACAGTGTGAGGCTAGCCTGGGCAAAAAGGTAATGAGACTGCATGTCAAGCAATACCTGGGTGTAGTGGCTTGTGCCTGTCATCCCAGCTACATGGGATGCTGAAATCAGGAGGATCATGGTTCTAGATCACCCCAGGCTAAAAAAGTTTGTGAGACCCCATCGCAACAAAAGAAAGCAGGGTTTTGTGATATACATCTCTCATCTCGTGACAATTGTAGAAATCATAAAATAGAATTACAGTCTAGACCCATCTGAGCAAAAGATGATACCCTTTCTCCAAAATAACCAAAGGAAAAAAGGGCTGGAGACATGGCTCAAGTAGTAAGAGTGCCTGCCTTGCAAGCACAAAGTCCTGAGTTTAAACCCCAGTACCACCAAAAAAAAAGTCATGTGCTGCATAATGACATAATGCATATGAAAATGATCGCATAAGAGTATATTTTCTAGTGATATCGTAAGTATACTCTGATGTTCACATGATGAAGAAATGACCTAACAATGGAGTTCTTAGAATGTGTCCCTGTTGTCAAGTGGCACATGACTGTATAGGTTCAGTAGGCTTTATGAAGTACAGTTACCCTAAATGATAATATATTTCATTGCATATATCTTTTATAGATTTCTGTCACATGCACAGCCTATTTTATTAAGTTCTATAAATACATCTTATAGCTGGGGGTATGGGTAAGTTGCACATTTCTTGGCCTAGCATGTGTGAGTTCCTGGGTTCAGTCCTCAGCACTGGAAAAGAAAAAGGCACTTCATAATTTTCATTCAGTTCCAAGTTGATTTTAAATCAGAGTTTGATTTTTTACCAACATACCTTGAAACAAAACACATGGTATTTCTTTATTAACCAATGAAGTGATTTTTTTATCATTCCTAAATCATAAGGATATATTTTGCTAAGTCATTCCATACAAGAGGGAATCGCTAAAGGTAGTAATTTGAGGACTTACTAGTTTTCTTTTAAGTGCATTTCATAGCTCCTTTGTGAGACATTTGGCACAACATGCCAAATAATCAAATGGCAATAAGAGAGTCAAGCTTTCCTCAGGTGGCAAATTAATTAAAGATTCCATACCTTCTCTATGGTGATTATAACTGGGAGAAGGTAGATATTGCTCTTTAAAAATTCAAAGGTGGCAGACAATTAAAATTTCCAGTGCTTACGCCTGCTTAAAGGCCTATGATGCTGCTAGGAAACATATCCCCAATGTTAAGAGAAGAGATTTGGTGAGAAAGTTTTTAGGGGTCATAGCCCAGTTGACTGATAACTCTTTCCATAGAATTTAACCATCTAATTGCATTCACATGTAGCTATAAAAACTAAATTGGAAAAGATTTAGGAATGTAAGGAATTATTATTGTTTGAAAAAAAGAACAGTAAGTAATTGTGGTACAATACCCTATTTTCATGAAAAAATAATCAACATGTACAACTGGAAGGATATACACAGAATATTACAACGCCTATGCTTGAATAGTAGTAACACTGTAGGTGATTTTTATTCTTAACTTTGTATTTTTTTTTTCCAGATTTTTGACAGTGAATTTCTACAGCTTACTTTGTAGTCAGAAAACAAGTTACTAAAATTTATTTGTAACTTTCTATTTTTCCTTTAAGGTGAACATTAATTATTTTCCCTAGACAACCTAACTTCTTCGTTGGAAAAAATAGGGACCTTACTGATTTGGGGTTTAAGACCTCTTGTCAACTTTTATTATTTCATTCAGCAAATACTTGTTAAATATTTTCATTGTGTCCAGGCAGTGTTGGGAATAATGCATTAAACAGAGCATCTAGGAAGAGGATGTGAAATAAACATTTATGTCTTTTGTGATATCTGTTAAATAAAAAATAAGAGGATTATTAAGTGTTGGGGAAGAGGAGTCACTCATCTCTTTGGTCCTAAATTCTTTCATCTGTAAAATAAGAGAAGGGATTAGGGCAGAGGAATAATAAAAGCCTTTCCTCTATAACATTTTGTGGGTCCTGTGACTTTTCAGTTACAGTTCACTACCTAAGTGATTGTCACCCAAATACAGAAGTGGGTCAGTTCTACCATTAAAACGAAAGAGGAAGTATATATCCTGAGAAGAATACTTGACTGATAGGATTTTTTAAAGTAGTATTTCTATGACCATTTCAATAATAAAGATAGCAAATGAGGACAGTAGAAGTGTTAAATGTTTACCCACATGTCACATAGTAGAACAGAAAATACATATCATGAGAGAAATTTTTCTTAGATAAGTATTAGTCTTCCTAAGATTGAGGCTTGTATTATAAACACATGAATACCCTGAAAAACAAAGAGTTATTCTATCATATCTTATTTGTGTTTTCATGTAGTTAGGAGACAGGAAATAATGAGGAAACAACATGAAAGAAGTAAATATTGTTTGAGACTGGTAACAGAAAACCAAGAGGAAAAGTGGGTTTCTTTGTAGACATTTCTTTTAGGTGAGATGCTGCCCATCTCCTATTTCTGCATTATTTAGCAATTCAGTGGTCATTTTCATAAAACTTTCTGTAATAACTATTTTTTCATCACAGTGTTGCCTCAAATTAGGATAAATAAAACTGTTCTTTTGTCAAGATAAGAATGTTTTAGGTGGCATTTGTCATCTGTTCCCTTCCCTTCCTGTGATGCTCATGCCATCTTTCTTTGTTTCAGATATCCTCTGGCGCTTGCAGGTCTGATGTTTCAGAATCTCCTGAATTACGTCAGAAGTCACCATTGTTTCAGTTTGCTGAGGTAATACATTATAATGTATACTTAATTAATGAGGAAACTGAAAAGCAAGCCTAAATTTGGATTGATAACAGTAAGTGAAAACAAAGAATTCTACTTAGCTTAATTAACATAAATAGGAAAATAGAATCGAATTTTGGAAAGGAGGAATATATGTTTATAGAAACTTGTTAAGTCACACTAAATATTACACTTAAACCCTCATCATTAACTTTTATTCATGGATATAGTAAGGTTATAAATATAATTTGTATTGATTTGATAAATCAGAAGACAGAAGCGACTATTACCTGTGCATTCTTTCTTTTTTCTTTTTTCTTTTTTTTTTACACTTTATTCCTCTTCTCTTATTTGAAACTATAGCCCGAGGTCAGCAGCTGTCAAAGTTTTACATTTTAGGATAGAACTGTTCAGCTCAAAATATGTCTCTTAATACTGGTTCAAATAAATAATGTAGAAAATCACATTATCCTTGTTACCTAGTAGCTAAAACTGCTTCCCAAATTATCTTCATTTACCCTAGAACTCATTATGATCTCTCATTAATTTTTTTTCCTGAACTTTAAACCACCTGGCCTTTTCTTGATCATTTAAATTGTCTTTCATTAATATATTCTGATACTCTCATCCTTCCTAGCATTTGCCCATTCTGTCACAGTCTTGTAAAGGGGAAACAGATTTTTAGTTTATAACTTTTTTGACACCAGCACATCAGGCCAGTCCTTTTCGACTACTTATATATTCCTAATTACCTTGCTTATATCAATAGAATGGTATAAATATATATTTGCTAACAGTACTACTTTCACTTAGTGAAAACAGTACATTTTTCGTGTAGTAATATCTTTGGAGTTGGTGAATAGTTACTTCAGGAGATTCAGTGGGATTAGAAATGAACTAAAATGGTAATACCTAAGATTCCTGAGTTTGTGACTCACTTTCACTGTTTTGTAGCTGGTCAGATCTTTGTTCACTTTGTCCAAGATTAGTAACTGAACTTGTTCTCAAAACATCCTCGAAAATATTTCTGCACAACTCTTACATCAGTTTGAATGAGACTACCATAATTCCCCAGTGGAAACAAAAGGTCTAGTTGAATCAAGTGTTGTGTGGCAGAATCTTTTATCCACTGTCAGACACTAAAAGTATGCATATATATGTCTTGGGATGCAGGTGTTATAAAAGAAGGAAATGCTTTTCATATTTAGTGAACAGTTTATTGAGTTCTGGTGCTGTGCCAGACAATGTATTCTACAGTTTATTTTTTTCTCACCATAATCTTATAAAATGAGAATTGTCATCATCATAAATTTATAGTTGGAAAAATAAATTTCGGAAAGTTTAGTTGAACTGCCCAGTGAGTAGCAGAGCTAAGATTTAATCCCAGATATCCCAGCCCACCTCCATATGCTTCTCCCGTGCTTTTTCACAGCTGGCTGTGCACAGAAAACAGCTTAAAGGTAGTGGTGTAATGAAAAGAGAGTGACTGGCTTTACTTGCAGCTTCTAGCTTTTAATACTGTATCTTTAAAAAAATTCATTGAAATAAGGAAATTCATTTTAACAGGTTTCCTTAACTGCTATTTGACATACACCTGTTACCCCTATAGGGACATGGCAAATGAGCAAAACTCTGTTTTTGTTCTTTCTAGTCATCTGAGTTTAGAAACATGGACTTCATCTTCCTTCATCATTTTATACTGCTCTTCTAAACGGGATTGAGGGTGATGATGACTCTTGTCTGATCTTTATTAGTGTCTACAGTAGAAATACATGGCAGAATCCAATAATCTGATGGGAAAATGTCCTTGTACATTAAAAATTACTTGTTTCCTTTCAGATATCTTCAAGTACATCCCACTCTGATGCTCGTACAAAACAGTGTCAGGCATCGGCCTTGTTTCAGTTTGCAGAGGTATATCCATTTTTTTAAAATGCTTATTGGGCTCAGAAAACTTGTTGATCTCAGGAAATGCTGAAGTGGAATTTTAATGATGTGTAGTGAAATTTAGGCATGCAACTTGGTATTATTAACAATACACAGAATATTTATGGATTTTTCCTGCTATTGATGTAGTCATATCAAATCAGCTCCAGGTTTTAGACCCATTTTATAAGCATTCAGTAAAGAGTTCATTCAGGGGCTGTGGCTGTGGCTCAAAACAAAACAAAAACAAGGCCCTGAGTTCAAACCTTGGTACCGCCAAAAATAAGAATTTACTCAAAATAGGCACTTAACCAGTAATTCACTTATTTTTATTTTACATTGCTTTTAATTATACCTTATTTTTAAAGATTGAAAAAAACTTATCAATATGAAGGCCAGAGAATTTCAGTTTATTAAACATTCCAATAGTGAAATTAGATGCTGTAATTCATAAATAACTCTCAAAGCAAATTAAGTAGTGAACATGACTTGTTAAATCATCAGCTTTTGACAGGTATAGCTACAGCCAGTATTTTTATTTGTGTTTAATCCCAGGATTAGATCAGGTTAGTTCTCACAAGATCTCAGATTTCAGATTTCTTTGGTTTGTCAGCCAGAGAGCACACACAAGAAAAAATTTTCTTGGCCTGTATGCTGAGTAGGCAAATCTATATGCTTGATTTTGCCACAAAAGCCCTGGCCTCAACCAGTATGAGCAGTATATGGCAAATAATAAAATACATACAGTTCATGCAAATATAAAAACATGTTTTAGTCTTTCCTCTTTTTCCTTTTTATTAATTCCAGGAAAAATGCATATTGGAAACTAAGCAATATTTTTATAGAGTTGTGAGAAAATGATAAGCAGGATTTAATATTGATGTATTAAATCACTTTGATTCATTTGAATAAAGAGTATTGCATAAATGAAATGTAAACTGGTATTCTTTTGGCAGGAGAAAACTTAGCATCTTACTTTGAAAATTAGAAAAAATTACTTTTGGCTCTTACATAAGAAAAAAGTGCTTTTTCTTCTTGGGATACTTCTGTGAACCACTTTAACTTTGTACGGTCAGTTGGCCTGCTTCTGTGCCACAATATTTGCTTTAGCTGCTGTGAGCTATTATATAAAAATAGTAATAAAAATACATAATGTTATAATTTCATAAAAAAATTTGCTTGATGTATCTGAATAAATTAAGGTTTTGTTATAATTTTCCATTCTTATAAACAGACTTATTTTCATTGTGGTGGGGAAAGTACTTCCTTGCTCTTCTCCAGTTGTTGACATTCATTTACTGATGCTAATGAGTTTTTTAAGAGTTAAAAAAGAATTTGGCATGTCAACTAAATTTATTTTTAGTGTTGATATCTAAGCCATTCCCATCTAGCTTTTCAAAAATATTTCACTCAAAACAATTTATTTGCCATACATTCTGTTTGTTAAATTCTCTCTGTAGTATAAACAGTAGGAAGGTATAGTGGCTCATCTTTGACATACCTGATACTTGCATTTGCATTAACTACCAAGTATGTTCAACTTAATATAAAATATTAATTAAATGTGTAGGAGTTCAGCTAGCATTGGTGTGTGTCTAACAGTATGAGCATTTTTTAAGATTTTTAAGGTATACCATTAGCAGATTCATTAGGAGCCCATGAAGTCCTGGGCAGTTCACCCACGTGCAGTAGCAGCTATCCTATGATTCTGCAGAATGGAATCCTGTACTTCTACTAAACAAAATAAGTTGTTGTTGATGTTCAGTACACTCACTACTTAAGTGGTGAAAAAGATTTGGTCCTTGTTTCTTAATTTTACCAAGATTTTTTCTAGGGAAGAAAAAACTTCATACTTCAAAGTAAGTGATGTAGGGAGGCATCTCCAAGTGTTACCCCACAAGCACTTGTCCCTGCGGGCTTGGGAATTTTGAAACGAAGAGAATGTATGATTTGAGGAAGCTGAAAATTGTTCATTTGGAAATACATTAGTACTTGTTTCAAAGGATTTTAACTAGGAAGGCATGTATCATGGAAAATCCAAAATGGACAATGTGAAAAATATAAATTCTGTTATTCCCTAGAATCCAGTGCAATCTTCCCCCAACTCTTAGGATATTACTTTTCCTAGTTATATTTTACATTGGTTGATAATTACTGTAAGCTCTTTTAAATAGTGATCAAATTAAGGTGTCAATTATTTAATTGTAAATGTTATATACATTTTACTTGTTTATTTATTTATGGTGATACTGAGGTTTGAACTCAGAGCTTCACAATCTACCACCTGAGCCACTCCATCAGCCTTTTTTGTGTTACTTTTAAGACAGGGTCTCACGAACTATTTTCCCGGGCTGGTTTCAAACCAAAATCCTCCTGATCTCTACTTCCTGAGTAGCTAGGACTACAGGCGTAAGGCACTGGTGCTTAGTATTAGTATTTTACATAAGAGAAATTCATGGTTCTCTAAGGATGCATAACCTATCTAGTCATTTCCCCTATGCGATGAAAAAGAACCTTAAGTTTCAGTTTCTAACATCATTTGACCATATTATCAGTCCAATACTGGGATAATTTTTTTAAGCCTAAATAAGTACTAACTAGATGAACTAATAAAACTATCTACTAAAATCTGCTACAAGCATATATTCTGCAGTAGAAATAGAATAGGCTATAAATACTAATTGTAATGATACATACCCCTATCACTCTTACAATTATTTCATAAAACACTATCACCTTTGAGAAAACAAAGGACTTGTGAAATTCTTGTTCTGATTAGTCCATAGCAAAAGCTCTCAACCTTTAAAATACATCAGTCTTCTAGAAATCTTGTTCATAGGTAGGTTGCTGGGCCCCACTCTCAGGGTTTCTGATTCATTAAGGCTGAGGTTGTGCCTAAGAGTTTGCATTTTCAGTAAGATTCCTTTTAGGGCAGTACAGTTTAAGGTCACTACTCTACAATTTTATTGTTTTTAACCCCCAAATAACTAAACTGTTACCGTTAAGACACCCTCTCATATCTGTGCCCTTATAGGGAAAGGGTAGAAGAGAGGAAGAAAGGTGAGTATGTAATTGAAAATTATCCAGTGAACTGATTTATACACCCATCCTATTATTATCTACTTTGAGAGAAGTCAGTGTTTATACAATTTAGGAAACACTTTATTCTTTAAAGGTGTTTAGTTTTGAAATACATGTTTTAAGGTCAGGCACGCAAAATTCTTTAAAACCATTCCTGCTAATTCCATTTACGAACCCTACGAAGGCATTTAGCCATATCTTCCACTAGAAATGGGTCATTTACCATAAAATGTAATTATCCAAGAAACACACTTAAAAAAGAAAACAATAAAGCCTTGGGCATTTCTTTAAGTTGATTTTTTTTTTCTTTCACATCAAGAACTGGGTTCCTACCTTGAAAGCTGAAAGAATTTTTTTTTCCTAACCAAATCTGATCATTTTAAAGTTACATGGAATCATGAAACTCAATAAAGCACATTTTGTTTATAGGTTCCTTGTAAGTGTTTATAGATTCCTTATGAATGTTTACCTTAAGGAAAAGAAAATATTTCTACTTTGTAAGATCTAGAAAGAGAGGTAGAGACTGCCTCCCCTCACTTCAGCCTGTCTCCCATTCCATAATGCTAAGTCATATTTCATCTAGATTCAAATTGGCCCATCTGTTTTGCTCCCAGAAGGGAGCTGTTTAGGAGGATGAATATGGTGCAGTCAATGTATACACATGTATGTAAATACAAAAATGATACCTGTTGAAACTGTTGAATCAGAGAAAGGGGAATGGGGGAGAGCAGTGGAGGGAGTGAATTCAAGGATGATATATTTGATACATTGTAAGAACCTTGGTAAATGCCACAATGTACCCCCACACAGCACAACAATTAAAAAAATAAAAAAAGAAAGAAAGGGAGCTGTTGTTTTCTGTGAAGAGATCTAAAAGGTATGACCAATCCACATATTCCCTTCTGTGCTGTATGGCTGAATGTTAAACCTAGAGTATATTTTTGCATTGAAATTACACATTTACTTAAAAGATATAGTGAGTTACTGTAGATGTTTAGATAAATAGATTTGGGCATTAAAACTCTGCTTAGAACATATTTACCTTGCCAATATAAGTACAATACTCTCTCCAAATACAAGATTTCATTGCAATTGGATATAAGCAGTAGATCCAAATTTAAAGCATCATTTTCATGATGCTTTAGAATGTTTAGAATTTTCATGATGATTCAGAATGTTACAGAATATTACATTCAATAAAAACACCATATACTTCACTGAAACTAATCAGTGAACTTATGTGTTTTATTAGAAATGTTAACATTTCTTTTAAGGTAAGTAATGTCAGTCATCCTCATATTATTCATTTATTCTTAATATATGTATTCATTCAATAGGCACCAGTCATTTTTTCCCAGGCTACAGTGTTTATAATCCCCCTCATAATTGCAAAAGAGTTCTACCATTACCTAATTGTCTAATCTTTACCACCCGTTTCCTTGGTGTACTCATTCACTTGAGGCTACTATAAAGTGAATAATTTAGTATCCAGGTCAATAATTTTTTTTTAACATTTTTTGTTATACCTCATGTACTCTTTTACCTACCCTTTTTCTAACACTTATGAATGAGTACTGTTTATCTGAACATTACATAATTCTCAGAATAGAGACTACAGTATAGTTAACAAATTAGCAAGCACCATCCAATTTGAAGAAAATAAAGAGCACAGCCATGAACATACTATGCAGTGCCCCCACCTATCGGCGTAGCAATCATACACTTCCCTCCATAGCCAGCCAGTGACTGAAAAACATACACTAATTAAATTTTCCTATTTGAAAGACATCTCTTAAATAGAAAATTGTTATCAGGAATGAACAATTATAACAAATCAGCATTATACAATCTATTCTTGAAATCAAAGACATCATCATAGATGAGAGTGCTGAGAGAAAATGTGTAACATTGACACAAATGTGTAACATTGACAAAACCTTGAGGAAAATGACATTTAAAGAATCACCAAAGAAAGACCAACTAGGAATGGCCTGAGTGGTAGGACCCTGCCAGGGAAGAATATCCTAAAAGAGTTATTACCACTGCCAAGTGCTGCAGACAAATCCAGATGAGGATTGAGCCATTGAAATTAGCATATGTCCAGTTTTCCACCAAGCCTCCCCCTAGGTTAAAAGACATTTTTAGGAAACTTATCTTACCACTAAGTCATTCTATGAAAATTTTATTGACAGGAGCCACTGGAAGTGTTGGACCAATAAAATAATGTTGAACCTCCCACACCCATGCCCTTTTGGAAATCAGCCCTCTAGAAACCTTTGGTATTTAAAATCTTGCCATGTCCTGTGCTTTATAAATAGGTAAAAATCCTCCCAGAGACAATGATGAAAACCATTCCTGTTATTCATTGGGGTTCCTTTCGAAAGACAAGAGCCATCTCAAGCCTCCACTCACACTCACACAGCTGTGCATTAACACAAGGACAGTCATTGCATCCATGTAGTCAGTAGTTCATTTTCCCATGCACTGCTTTAGGCACCACATTTAAATGGTAGTGAAGGCAGAATAAAGAAGCTAAAACCTACATAACAAAAGCAACAACAGAGAGAGCCAGTGAAAGAGCTACAAAAATAGTTTGGGCCATGTAGTGCAGCACCACCCAGCTTGCTGGCCTTCAGTAATTCTTGATTTAAGTAAAAATTTCACATTTTACAAATTATTAAATTTAGTATTATTCTCAGTCATTGCAGTTTTTAATTCTGTTCAATTTCAGGTTGTAACATTTCTGGAATTGTTCTAAAAAGTTTATTTGCTAGTGTTAATGATAAATCATTAATACTGGTCATTGTGAGCATAATGTGGCCACAGCAGTAAGCTACTCACATAAAATATAATTGTAACGATGTAAGATAAGGCAGGTATTTTAAAGGTAAACTAAATGAGACTTAGAGTCTTGATTATTTAAGTCCACACAACAGAAAGTAATGAAGGTGTGTGTTTCTGGCACAGAGGCTATGCCCTTTCTATTTTACTATCTTGGTTCAAGAGACTGGTGTTTATGTTTAGCATGTCATTCATTAAGTCACTAAAAGTCAGTGATATTAATGTGTTTACTTTCTCTTAGTCTAGTAATAAGGTGAGTAATTGAATTCAACTTGTCTAGAAAAAGTAGAAGTGGTATCTTTCAGTGAAAATTCAGCTACTAGAAAATATTACAAACTTCAGAAATAATGAGCCTCTTAATTTAATCTAACAAAAAGTAAATTATTGAAATGAATATTAAAGGAGTCTGTTAAAACCAGGAATATCTAGGAGGAAAGAGATCTCAGAACTTCCTTAAACTATACCCTTTTTTAAATGACCTTGGTAGCTTTTTATATATAATATATATTATGCTTTTACAGAGACCTCTTATTCAGCAGGTGTTCTAGGGAGAATTCTCTATCAGTGAGCACACACATGCCCAGTCTATTCTAGAGCTGGCAACTCCACAGAATCCCCTGTGGAACCTGGAGGCCACCTGTAAGGATATAGTCACCAGGCAGGATTGCCTCCTCAACAGAATTGAGAAATAGTTCTCTCTAAACTGAGAAAGAATTCAGAATCACAAAAATATAAAATGCCTACACCTTGGCTAACTGCTCTAATGATGACAGAACTTTTCCAAGGGAAGAATGTCCTTATTAGTGTATGTCCTTTTCAGCTCTTACTGAGGCTAGAAATTGAAAGTGAAAATTTCACATAAAAGCAAGAAAGAGCAGTGCTGTTTATTTTTATCAGTGCCCAGACATTGTTTAGCCAAATTTGCAGAAAAGTATGTAGTCAGTATAATGTTATATTTATGTTGCTGTACTCATAGATTCTTAACCACACGCTTTATATTTGTGGCCTTTATTGTCACTCTTGAGTATATTTTAGTGAATTCTTTCAAAGTTTATATAAAATTCAGCTTCTCCCAGCTTCTGTCATATTGCCTAGTACATATGTACTACATTCTCAAAAAAATCTGTTGACTGACTTGATGCCATCTTTCTGCGGAGATCCCAAATGTTTACTTTTAAGAATTAATTTACTGCTTGGTGAATACAAAATGATTCTAAATTTTTTTCATATTTGATCAGTTAATGTATTAATACTTAAATAGAAATGAATGTACATACTATTCTTTAAGGTTATAGAATTAAAGCCTATATTATGCAAGATAATACTATTGTCATTAGTCACCTGAGCCACACGTATTTGTTGATATTACTTTTGAGTTGCTGAATATGGCTTTGATAATGATTATCCCAAGCTTGAAATGTTTAAAGTTATTTGGTCCTTGGAATAATGATACTCCCATAAACTAAGAAAATTCCTAAATAAAATATTAGTATCAACTGTGTTCTCTATGTGAATTTTTTTTCCATGTAGATCTCTTCAAACACTTCGCAGTTGGGTGGTGCTGAGCCTGTAAAACGCTGTGGGAAGTCTGCACTCTTTCAACTGGCAGAGGCAAGTTATTCAGAATATATTGAGATAAGATGTGCAGAAGTAGAAATTACAAAATCATGATCAGTGTCCTTTACCATGAAATGTGTCATATCTAATTTTCAGCAATGAGAAGGTTAACATTTAATTTTGGAAAAAGGAATTTTGCTACTAAAAATAACTAGGCACTGTAAAAGGTTACACAGATATTGCAAAATATTTTTTGCAGGTAATATTTAAAGTAGGGTTAGTTTTTGTCTCAGATTGGTTAAGCAAGTCCAGCCTAAGCCTATGTTAGTTTCTTCTCTTATTCTCTCTAACCAATAAATCCCTAGAAGGCGCTACTTTTCAATCAGGCAGATGTGTTAATTTTTGTTTATTATAGTGAAGAATTCATATGGCATGTTCTAGTATCTAATTTGATTAACATCTGTGTCTATCACTTGTACCTTTGATGTGACAAGTATATAAAATGCTGGTATTCCACTGGCAAAATAGAAAATGTGTTTTCATAAAGCTAATGAAGGATAGAGTTGAGGAGGAACATACTAGAAGTTGCATTGCCAAGATGGACATGAGCAGAGACTCCCTCTGCCAGGCTGTGACCACTCTGCATCAAGAGAAGATGTGGACAAAATTTTCTCAGCACCAGGAAGGAAACTGTAGTTTAATGAGATCTACCATTTCCTAAAATTTCTAAATTTTATGGTAGTTTATATCATAAAGTTTTGAGAGTTTGAAATATCTGATATCTAATTTTGGAGACTTTTTAAAGCCTAGCCAGATCCAAATTAGACACATAAAAATATGAAGGCCTGAAATTCTAATGAATAAACAGTAGGACAAACTAACCCATTGTGGCCTGTCACTAAGCTGACAAGCTGCTGTGGAAGACAAATTCCAATCAAATGGAGGGCGTGGAATCACTGGAAAACTCTTAGGAGAAACTTACGATTACAGCAGGGATTAGTTATGAAGAAAACTGTATGAGTCAGTGTAAAGTAACTACTTCAGATACAACTGAAAGTGAGGCTCTGACAAGGAGAGTACCTTTGGCTTGTAAGCAAATCTTACTAAACAGAGAGACTGTGACATCATGAGTTTTCTAGACTGTATGGGTTATCAAGACAATTTATTTGAAAGAAGTGACTTTTTCTTAAATAATACGGATTTTATGAGCCATGTGCTTGTTCTGGTTAGATAATTGATGAGACTATTTGGGTGTGTGTCATATATATTCAAACTAACTTTCCATATTTAATACTTTCATTCAATTTTTTAAAAAAAATTATGAACCTTTTGTAAACTTAGCTATGGGGGATGCCAAAGAGATGAGTTCGTCTTGTCATTTTCTTTCAGTCATAAAAATAGAATTCCTTATTAAATCAGAGCTCATTAAAAAGAACATTCTTCTAATTCATAGCGATGCACCCCAAATTTGAAATAGATGCTATGGTTTAACAGATGTTTGAATGCTGGTATCATAATTTAAAGGGGTAAAATGACTGAAATAAGCCCATTCCAGGTATAGCAAATCAGCTTATACTCAGACTTAGTTTATTATAACCTTTTTGTAAAAATACATGCCTTGATGAAGTAGGATCACTAAAAAATAATTTGCCAAGAAAATCTCACTTTACTATTTATACTGCACACAAATATGATACCACAATATTAAGAAAGTATATTTTAGAGTAGTATCCTAAAGCCTTCCCTGTTTTAATTAAACATAAAATATGCACAATGATTTAATCAGCATAGCCAAGATAATCAGTAGATCAATGTTTGAGAACACCCTGAAGAGAGTCAACAGATAGTTTTACTTGTACATTTTAGCAAATAAAAAGTCTATATAGTAGACTTTAATATCCACCGTTATATGGTTCCAAGGAGATGAACATTGAGGAGAAACCATGAATGCTTAGGATGCTTAGAGTTCAATACTGTAGTGTGGATGCTTGATTCATTTTTCCTATAATTCTGCACAACTTTCGCTAAAGACCTGCTGCCTTTCAACAAACCACAAAAAAAAAAATCACTTTATCACTTAAATTGAGCACATTACATATCCTTTTGACTTGGAAAGATTACGATAATTCTTCCTTGCTTTTTGGGCACCACTTGCTCTTTGGGAGGCATATTTTCACTAAATTAAGGGCAGGGAAATGGCAGGTCACACAGTGATTTAAATATAACTGATGATAACGCAGGGCTGACTGGGAGTTTCTCCCCATCAGCTGAACTGTGTAATGTATGCAGAAATTGAAGTTTTTTGTTTTTGGCGTTTCTTTTGATTTTTTTATTTGTTTTTTTGATTGCCCTAGGTCAAATTACTGTGAGTAATAAATCCACAAATAAGGCAGATTTACTGTAATTGAAGACCTGTAGTGCCAGCATTGTCTAGTTAACAGATTAGTTTATTCATTTATTATAACGGACAATAATCATTGAGGGTCTACTCCATGCCAGTAACGGTAGGGCTTCTGAAGTTACCTGCAAATGTTTGTACACAAATTTTTAGTACAATGAGAACTAAAACCTGTTTAGGGACACTTTACCTCCTGGTATAGTGTTGTTTTAGAATATGACTAGGGACTGAGCATAAGCCTAAAAATACTGTTATTAATTCTATGGATAAGTTTTCTGAAATAATTTCAAATGTTCTTTAAAATAGATTAAATTTTAATAGCTTTTTTTTTCTCCAAGTAAGTTTTATTTAACCAAAGATAATAATGGCTGACATTTATTATCTACTAGTGTTATGCCCAGTTTCAAGTGATTGACATCTACTTATATAATTCTCACTACTGTACTCTGAGGTGGACATAATCATTCTTTTTATACATTAAGAAACCAAAGGGTGTACAATTTAGGTAACTTGCGTACGATCATGTGGGCAGTAAGTATGAGAGCCAAGGTAGGAACCCAGACAGTCTGTTTGTATAGGCTCTGCTCCTAAATAGACTATTCTGTCAGTCGATTTTAAATGGATATAAAACACTGTATAAATTGCTACTATAGACTTGTGCACATCACAGAGGTCTTATGGAAGATAGCTTACCCTGGATATACATATTACTGAATAAGATGACAGACGTTCAAGACTACTGTCAAAGACATGGAGTTTATCTTTCCTTTTCAGAAAATCTCTATACTTTTGAAACTGCCAAGACTCATCTTACACCGTTAATAGAGGCCTACTTGTAGAGGTGTTTTGGAAAATACTATGAGGGTTATAAGAAATTATGGCATACAACTCCTGCCCTCAAGGTGCCTACTCTCTAGTTGCAAAGAGATGAAAAAAAAGTTAAAAAAGAGGGAGGCAGGGAGTGGGAGGATCACAGTGCTCAAGGCCAGCCCAGGCAAAAAGTTACCAAGACCCCATCTCAGCCAACAAGCGGGACATGATGGTGGCACAGGCCTGTGATCCATAGGTGGGAATATCGTGATCTGAGGCCAACGGCTGGCAGAAACATGAAAGCTCATCCAAAAAATAACTAAAGCAAAAAAAGACTGACGCATAGCTCAAGTGGTAGAGTACCTGCACAGTGAAGCCCTAAGTTCAAACCCCAGTAATGATTGAAAAAAAAAAAAAAAGATGGGGTGGGGAGGGAAGAATTGAAATAAGTAGTGCAAGTGATTTTACAAGGAACCATGCAATGAAATGATGAGGCTTCACTTAAATGTAAATGGGTACACACAGTTAATGTATGAAACTAAGAAAGGGAGAAATTAGTATTAGCAGAAATATTCTAGGTAGCAGGCAAAGGGGAGAGAGCCTGAACTAGCATTGATGAAGGAGTTGGTTAGGAACAACTAGAGGTTGAAACTAGCAACCCTGGACAACCTCCATCTGTAGAAGTACTTTATTTGACCCACATTTTGTTGAGCTGTATCATATTTTACATTTCAGTTAGCTAATATTTAATTAGACTTCAAATAAATACACCTTTCTGATTACTCCTGAAAATTTAGATGCTCTGGAGACACTGGATTAGCCTCCCTCTGAGAATAACAGAGCTGATTAGTGGCTGTCCTCTTAGGTATTTGCTCTCTAAATGACACTGTCCTGTCCTTTCCCTGATGAGCCCTGATTCTGAGGTCAACAATCATTTCCATCCTCCACTTACATTTGCACACTTCCTTCTTTTATATTAGACAACACATATACAGTGGAGACTGATTTGGTGGAAACAGACGAGGCAAAGGAGATAGGGAGATGGCAATGAGTAAATCCCATTGGCAGGAGTAGGGGGCTATGTTGGAGATTTATGAAAGATGAACATAGAGCATAGCTTCAAGTCAGGTTAGACATTACTTAGTGTAAAGCAAAGAAATTTGTGCTTGAAAATAATGAGCCATTGATGATTTGGGGCAGGCGTGTGCAGTGATGAAAGCAACATCTGAAAAGATTCTCTTGGCAGATATGCATGGAATGGAGCAGTGTCTTTATGGGCATTAGGTGTGAGATGATAAGGATGAGGATTGGAAAACGATGACAGTGGGAATGGGGGAGCAGCAGCAGATACCAGGAAGGTTTCAGAAGATTCAAGTGAATTTGATGATTGAGTCAATGTGCATGTCAACTAAGAAAAAGAGGAGTTCAAAATTGTCACTAACTCTACACCTGAGTAAGAGTAGGAAAAGGAAGGCTTCCAGAATTTTGTTACTGAATTTGGAGCCTTGTTTCAGGAGCCTAGATGTTTGCAGACAAAAGGTAAGCCCTGCTTATAGAAAAGAAGTGATGAAAAGATGCTAAGTGGGAAGGGACAGTCAAGGAAATCATATACTAGATGAGTCAACAGGGGAGGAAATAGGCCAGTGCACTGGCTCAACTCTGTAATCCCAGCTATTTGAGAGGTGAATATAGCAGGATCATGGTTGGAGGCTAGCCCCAGGCAAAGACTTAGTGAGACTCCATCTTAATGAATAGTCCAGGTGTGGTTGGACACACCTGTTGTCCCAACTACGGGGGAGGCACAGGTAGGAGGATCACCATCCAAGGCTGTCCCTAGGCAAAAATG